ACTCCAAATCCCATTAAGCTGGGTGGTAAAAAATGCCATCTTAGGTGTTAAATTGAATGTATTAAGTGTTATAGTGGAACATATAGATAGGATCAAGTGTCTGGTAATAATAAATAGAATTAAAAAGGAGATAATATTCCAACATGGGAAGCAGTCCACACAGCAGACTCATAGAATGACAATTGCTTTAAGTAACACTCTGACCTCAGAATCAGCTCTTTAGGCTTCCTGGTCCGGCTGAAAAGCCCATGAGAACATTTCAGGCATGGAAAGCCAAGACACTGTGGCAAAAAATGTCCTACATGAAGGATCTAAGGATCTGTGTGAGTGAGACCTCAGCAGAATTAGTGGCCATCAAAGAAGAATGTACTTTTCTCTAAAGGGAGAAGAGAACTTCCACTTTGCTTATGGCCTTGTCTAGATACTAATGGAGTTTGTGGACTCAAAAAGCTTCCATAGCCTAGGCAGCTCATGTCAAGATTCTCGGGTGGTCACTGACATCATGCATAAGAGTGTTAATTGTTAAATTGACAACAGGAGTCACTGTGCACTAACTCCCCATGCAGGATCTCTGTCCTCAATGAGTTGTATTATGAGAGTTAACTGTAAAACTAATTCTCAGTTTTTTTTGTCTGTGTGCGTGTGTGTGCAAATTGTTGAAATCTTTACTTAATATAGAGTTGGTCTTCTGTGTACAAAGTTACTTGAAAATGAATCTTAATAGAGAATAGGACTGGGAAGGGGAGAGAGAGGAAGAGGAGGGGTGGGAATGTGGGTAGGAGGGCAGGTAAGGTCGGAAGAATAACTGTATTCCTAAAGTTGTACTTATGAAATTTGTATTCCTTAAAAATAAATAAAGAAAAAGTAAAATCATGTGTTTGGGTACCTGTTTAATGCTGTTGTTTAATGAAATGTAATTGTTAAAATGTGATGAGATAGTGATAGTTTTTTCTATTTCTGCCTTTCTTTATATTTATATACTAGATGCCAGTTTCCCCCCAGAATTGTTAACCATTTACCTATGTTTGCTTTGTGAAACATGTACAGGGGTTCATGTGCAGGTTTTTTTCCTTTTGTGTCTTATTAGCCAGAGGTAATGAAAAAGAGAGGGAATGTTTGTGGGTAAATTTCCTAGTCAAGGTGAATGGAAGGCATGTAATGAACCCATGGTACTTGAAAATACAATAAGAAGGAAAACAACCAAGAGTAGTTATTGTTCTCTACCTGCCTTTGAATAGAAGCGCATATCTAGAGGGCTGGAGTGTCAGTGTGACACTTTACAACCTGCAGTTACCAATCTCTATCTTGAACCAGTGTTTCTTACACTAAAAACAAAGGGTATTCCAAGTGTGTACTTAAACCCAACGTGTAGAGCTAAGAGCTCTTCCTCCCTCAAAATCATGGGTCATTTGCAGCAAGCAGAGTGCTTATGAAAAGTTTCAGAACTCATTAGGTTGCTGCATTGTGGTTTGCAATGCACCTAAGAATATTGCATTAGTGGATGAAACATCTATTATAAACTCTTGGGGAAACTTTTATTTCAATTTTACAGACTTGCAGTGTAAGTTGAAATAAATTTTGATAACGACTCTCATAGCCTCTTTAGTTCCTACTTAACATTAAGCTTTTTATATAGACCCCAGTAGTTCCAAGCAGAGACTTGCCTAGAGCCATGCAAAATGCTGTGTTATAAATAATCTGTTCTGTCTTCCATAGCTTCTCTTTAAGCTGTTTAACTGGTCCCCTTCGGGGAGCAGAGAAAAGATGGCTCAGAAGGAGGCAGGGTTAACGTTTTCCACTAGATAAAGTCTAAGACCAGGTAAAGAGGACAGAAACCATGATATTCTGCAGTTTGCAGTTTTACAAAGGAGGAGCTTTTATATACAAATTTCAGGTTTGTGTGTCTGTGATTTTTAAGGCTTTTAGGTCATTGAAATAAGTATCACTACACCCATCTCAAAGATTAAGGGAAGTAAGTCCGGGTCATGGATTAAATCACTTTCCCATTGTCATTTTACAGAGTGGAGTTAGGCTAGATCTTTGAGGTTAGGGCTGAAATTTATAGTGTTGTTCGCTTTGTTTTTCTCTGGTGCTGTCCCTCCAATCCTGGAATCTGTGTGACGTGGTGGCTGGAGAGATGAAGGGGGTAACACTGGGACAGTGTGTCCCATGGACGGCAGAGAGGTCCTTAGAAGCAAAGTGGGGTGGGCAGGCCTTCCCACCATTGACTCTTTTATTCCCTTGGTGTACGCTTCTTTTATGAGCCACCCTTATTGTTCCTCCTGGGTTTTGCTGCCCATTGAACTTCTTCCCGTATGTGCTTGCTGCTGCCTCTTCCATGTATCACTGTTCCTGGTGCTGGACAGTGTTTGCCACAGTCAGACTCATAGCAAGTGATTATCCACTCTCCTCTTGAACAAGAAAGTGGAAGTTAAAGTAGAGTATTTGCGTTGGGATTTACCTACCAGTTAAGCTATCTCTTCAAATGCCTATATCCAATTTCAGAGTGCTTGGGTTCCACTCCTGGCTCCGCTCCTGATTCTGTCTTCCTGCTGATAGACACCCTGGGAGGTGGGGGTGATGGCTCAAGTACTTGGATCCATGCCACCCACATGGAAAATCCTGATTGAGTTCCCAGTTCCTGAATTTAGCCTGGTCCAGTCCTGGCTGTTTTCAGGGATTTGAGAAGTGATCCAGCAGATGGGAGCACCCTCCTACACCCTTCCCCGCCCTCTGTCTCTCTTTTTTTCCCCTCTCTGTCTCTTTCTCTCTGCCTCTCAAAAATAAATAAATAAAAATTTTAAATAGTGCATATTGTCTGGATTAGGTAAATCATAATGCAAGAATGATTTAAGAGGACCTTACTCCCAGGTACCTTTTTATTCCTCAGTTTATGTCAGATCATGAGCACTTCTCACATCTTTAAATACTATTGAAAACATTTTCTGTCATTCTGCAGCATTCCACTATTTGAATGTAGCGAAATTTATGTATGTGTTCTTCTATTTTGGATATTTAGGTGTTTTTTTTTTTTAGTTGTGGTTATGACTACTTGAAGAGATACAAGTCTGGTTTACTTGGTGTGCCCTAGTCATCAACTCATTTGTACATTGTAACAGGAGTTTCCATCAGATAAATACAGGGTTATTTTTCTGAAATAATATAGTAATGATATTAATTTGACTTTCAGATGGAGAAATGAAAAATAGTGGTCTGTGAAAGGAATAGATATCACAATATGTCTTTGGTATCTGACCATAGAGTTTTGTTTAATGGTTTGTAGTTTTATAAAACTTGGTGCAATTGCCATATTTTTAGTGTAGCAGATTGATACATAATGTATATATTTGAAAATATCTGAACTGAATACTTAAATAATCATCATTTTATAAGAGTCTAATACTTCACTGAGTAGCTTGGGTATTTTTGGTGGAGTATTTTATGTGTATTTTGAGCTTGAATTTTTTGGTTATCCATGGGCTCAACAATTATGAACAAATTAGTAGAGGATCCGACTTTGAGATTTGTTGTAGTTATTTGCTGGAACTATATTTGTCCCTCTTTATCCGAGGCAGTTTGTTCTAGGAACTCCATAGACACCAAAATCCACAGATGCTTAAGCCCCTTCTATAAAGTAACATAATATTTGCATAGAACCTACCATGTCCTCAGGTATATTTTAAATCATTTCTAGATTACTTACAATATACCTGACAAATGTAAATGCTATATAAATAGTTATTATCTTCTTTTTTTTGGAAATAATGACAAGGAAAAAAGCCTGTACATTTTTTAAAAAAAGATTTTATGTGTTTATTTGACAGAGTTACAGAGAGTGAGAGGGAAAGAGAGAGAAAGGTCTTCCATCCACTGGTTCACTCCCTAGATGGCTGCAATGGCCGGAGCTGCACTGATCTGAAGCCAGGAGCCAGGAGCTTCTTCCAGGTCTCCCACGTGGATGCAGGGGCCTAAGTGCCTGGGCCATCTTCTACTGCTTTTCCCAGCACATAGCAGAGAGCTGGATAGGAAGTAGAGCAGCTGGGACTAGAACAAAGCCTGTACATTTTAAGTCCACAGTCATTTTTCATAGGCCAGGCCAGTGACAATATAACTTTTTTTTTTTTTTTGAAAATATTTTGGATCTGTGAAAGTACTTGTTGAATCCACAAGGGCTGTCTTCAGTTTCCTGTGGCTGTGTGAGGTGGGGTGGGAGGGGAAAAGAGAGGAATGACGCTGGTGGTCCCATAATGCTCTCTGTCCTCTCCTGCCTTCTCACCCCTCCACCCACTGCCCGAGGTCCAGGCACAATTAACCATAGGCCAAGATTGTTCTTAGTCTTCCCTATCCAGTTTCTTACTGTAGGTGAGCAGTGCCTTTTTTCTACCCAAAACTTTTCAACATGGCATCCACCGAGGCATATAGTTTGGGAAGGCCTCATCCTCTGCAATTGTCTTTGCTATTCTGAGTTATCAGGAGGTCTTGGACTTTCCCCAACCCTGTCACTGCCTTTTCCAGGTGCACGTACTGATATGAGTGACCCTCGATATGTCATTGCCTTCATCTTACTTTGGTTCTTTTTGGCTAGTTAAGCACAGGACACAGAGCTCTAGTCTCCCTCTGGGTGTACTTTGAGGGAGGGGGCCGTCAGAGAAAAATGGAATTGGAATGTCACATAAGTTTAAAAAAATTTAAAAAAGGCCCTTGCTGTGAATGCAAAAGGTGTTTTTTCTTTTCCCAATCTGTGGTGAATGAAATGTGTGAGCATACGGGAATTTGACTTGAATAAACTCTTAAGATGAAGTCATACCTAATGAATTGCCTGTCTCTACATTCTTTCCGAAGTGATGGCTCTTAGTATTTGCACTTGTGATAACTTATGTTTCCTGAGTACAGGAGCCCCAGGACGGCCAATTAAGGAAGAAGCGGCAGTGGCTGCTTCATTACGTAACTGTGCTACTGTAATAGAGTGAATAATTGTCTTTTTTCTTTTTAATTTCTAGTGCCTGAAACAGTATATGCAGTTGGCAATCCGAGAAGGATGTGGGTCTCCTATCACTTGTCCTGACGTGGTGTGCCTGAACCAGGGGACCCTGCAGGAAGCTGAGGTATGCACGAGTGCCACAGCCTACCCCTCTTCCTGTTGATGTAACTTTACTAGGATCTTGACTCTACACACCTCGCTGCCAAGGAGTCTAGCAACAGAATACAGAGGGCAACTTGGTAAAGGAGTTCTTTATTGCTACATACCTTTGGATTCTTTATATACACTGTTAACATGGTCCCTGACCTCAGTTCTATTTATATCTGCCAACTTGAGTGCTGAAACAGGTCTAGAATAGGCAAAGGTGCTAGAAATCTAACCGATCCAACTAGAAAGGTGCTAGAAATCCAACTGGAAATGGAATAATGCATGGTCTTTAAAGATAAATAGACCATAGAATAGCCACAGTTCTCAAAAATATAAACTACTGTGATGATACAGTGGTAGCCTGGGTTGAACGATTTCCCAAGAGCAGAGAGAGAGAGAGAGAGAGAGAGAGGCTTTTCATTCAAATCATGTCAGGCATCAGAACATCAGAAACTTTTTTTTTTTTAAGTTTTTCTCTCATTTTCTTACGACTGTGATTTATCTCTTTCCTTTGTTTGTTCAGTCCTTGATCATTGGCTTGCCATAAATCTACCTTCTAATCTTTGGACCCTGTTCACTGTTAATCAGAATATAATAAGCTTTTGTCCATTCTTAAGGAGTTTGTAAGTCTCTGAAAGAGGTTCCAAGAAATCAATGGAATAAGTTACCATTCAGCAATCACTGAACACCTGCTTTGTACCAGGAACCCCTACAGTTGCTCTTGTGGCCACTATACTACTATCTAATCCTCTCAACAAAACTCATGATATTGGGTTACTTCCCAATGAAGAAACTGAGGCCATGTAATTATGGGCAGAAATAATTCAATCTGAATTCTATCTCTTTACTTTCTTGATATGTGCTTTTGTGTAATTTTTTAACCCTTACAGGGCTCAATGATGGTTCAAGTACTTGGATTCCTGCCACCCATGTGGGAGACCCAGATGGAGTTCCTTGTTTCAGCCTGCCTAACTCCTGGCTGTTGCAGGCATTTTGAGAATGAACCACTCGCTCTGTCACTTTTCCTTTCAAATAAGTAAATAAACAAATTATTTTCAAAAGCATGTTGTACCCAGGTTAGAATTTTTTTTTTAAATTAGAGTAATTGGGACTGGTGCTGCGGCACGGTGGGTTAAGCTGGTTCGAGTTCCAGCTGCTCCACTTCCGATCCAGCACCCTGCTAATGGCCTTGGAAAAGCAGCAGAAGATGGCCCAAATGCTTGGGCCCTTGACACCCACATGGGAGACCTGGAAGAAATTCTGACTCCTGGCTTTGGTCTGACTAAGCCCCAGCCATTGTGGCCATTTGGGGAGTGAACCAGTGGATGGAAATGTTTCTCTCTGTCTCTCCACCCCTCTCTGTAGTTCTGCCTTTCAAATAAATAAGTAAATAAATATTTTTTAAGTTATTGATTAAAATTAGATATAATTTAAAGTTCAGCTTTTAAATTGTGCTTGTCAGTAACTTTTTTTGTTTAATTAACTGCGTATTTGGAAGGTAGAAAGAGATAGATAGAGAGAGAGAGATGAACAGATAGTTCTCTTCCATCTGTGGATTCTCTCCCAGGCTTGCAATAGCCAGGTCTGGGCCAGGTCAAAGCCAGGAGTCCAGAACTCTATTGAAGTCTCCCACATAGGTGGCAGAGACCCAAGCACTTCGAGCCATCACTTGCTGCCTCCCAGGATATGCATTAGCAGGAAGCTGGATTGGAAACAGAGCTGAGTTTCTACCCCAGGCACTCTGATATGGGATGCGGGTATCTCAAGTGACATCTTAACTACTGTACCAAATGCCCACTCCAATAACTGTTTTTAAGTGTTCAACAGCACATGTAGCAAATGGCTGCCTGATTGGACAGCATGGGGTAGGACACTCACGTGAATGCAGAAAGTTCAGCGGCATAGTGTGGCTCTGTACTTTCAGGAAATGCTAACCATCAGGCAGTGACACTCCAGGTATGCAGTGTTAGGGCTCAGTGTTAGACAAGTGGGTGAGGACTGGCTGCAGTTTGTCTTACCCCGTCTGATTTTCCTTGTGTAGGCTTTTTGTGCTTCCCCTCCTCTTGCCCTTTTCCCAGTAGGTCCACCCTTCCTGCTTCTGGTTCTGTTCATCCAGATTTATTTTAAAAGCAATTTTACTTTGAGGTTGTATTAAAATCAAACAAACCTATAACAGCCCTTTAAAGATTACCAAACACACACACACACTCTCTCTCTCCCTCTCTCCACCCCCCCCCCCCCCCGAAAGTGAGAGTTACAGAGAAAGAGGCGAAGCTATAGGGAGATATCTTCCATGTTTTAGTTCACTGTCCAGATAGCCATAGTGGCCAGGGCAGGGCCAGGCCAAAGCCAGGAGCCTGGAACTCCATCCAAGCCTCTCACTTGGTGGCAGGGATCTGCTACTGCTTTTCCAGATGCACTGGCAGGGAGCTCAATTGGAAATAGAGCAGCTGGGACTCAAATCAGTGTCCATATGAGGTGCCAGTGTCACAGGCTCCACCAGATGATATTTTAAAAAGCAGAACAAGGGCCAGGGGTCTGTTGTGGTACAGTGGGTTAAGCTGAGACCTGCAAAAGATTTGATATCCATATATATATGGAGAGTCTTCAAAAAAAGTTCATGGAAAATATACATTATGAAAAAACTATGCATGGATTGCAAACATTTTTACACCAAAATTATCTTTTAACTCCATTTTCCATGAACTTTCAAAAGATATTTAATTATTTGAAAAGGTAGGGGGAGAAATCTTCCAGCTACTCATTTACTCCCCAGCTGACTACAAGAGCAGGGGCTAGACCAGGGTGAAGCCTGGAGCCAGGAACTTCATCTGGGTCTCCCACGTGAGTAGCAGAGACTCAAGTACTTGAGCCATCATCCATTGTCTCCCAGGCACATTATCAAGCAGTTGCCTAGGAAGTGGAGTAATTGGGACTTGAACCGGTGCTCAAGATACAGGATGCAGGTGTCCCAAGTGGCAGCTTAACCTGCTGTGCCAAAACACCTGCCCTTCCATGAGCTTTTTGAAGTGCCCTCATATATAATTCACTATCTGTACATTATTGAGTAGATTCTAGTGGAGTTCTAGTTGAGGCTGGTTCCCTTTGTCTTACTGCTATTTATATGAGGATACAGAATTTTTCATCATTCATTGTCTTGTGCAATGCAATAAGTACAACATTTCCTCAACTTCAGAGGACACTAGGAAGTCTTTAAGCTCTTTCCTGAGTGAGCCCAGCTCACAAAGTGGGCTCCGCTCCCTGTGTCTGCCTCCTTGGTTCCTTCAAATTGGCTCAGCTCTTGGCTCTGCCTCTTTTCTCTGTCAGGAGAGCCTCCTTAGTGAAGCATTTAGTGCCCAGTCCAAGCACTGCTTGCTTACATATTAACTGTCAGCTTGTGTCCATGTCACAGAAGAGGGGGGCGAGATAGGAACCGGAGGACCCGTGCTAGAGGTGAGCCCACGTGAGCCTGGGATGTGCTGAACTTCCCTTCGTTGCATCCTCTGGTACTTTCAGCTGTTGCTCAGCAGGGTGTTCCAAGGTACTTGATCCAGGGACCTTGTCCAATATGGAATTATGAAGACAGGACACAGATTGTTCTGATAGCATTACTTCGGGCCAAGTCCTTGCTTGAGAGCTTAAGGAGCTTTGTTAAAAAAGGTGGTGTCTACTTTGAGCAGTTCCGTACCTCTGGGATTAATGCGCTGTCCTTCCTGGGAGAGTCTGAGCTATGCATCTGGGCTGCATCATCCTTGAGTGGCGCACGTGCATAACGTATTTGAATGGGGGCTGCCTGAGTTGAACTTCTTCCAACTGCCAGCTGGCTGGGAGGCACACAGAAGAGCTTCTCACCCACTGATCCTCCTTCCAAGTGCTGAGGCCCTGAATCCGCCAGCCTGCCTTTTACTGCCAGTGCCATAGCATGCAGCAGAGGAAGGGTGGGGGCATCTGCCGCTGCCAGGAATGGGGGATTCTGGGGCTGGCGTTGTGGCACAGTGGGTTAAGCCACTGCCTGTGACACCGACATCCCAGATGTGCACTGGTTCGAGTCCTGGCTGCTCTACTTCTGATCCAGCTCTCTGTTAATGTGCCTGGGAAAACAGCAGAAGATGGCCCAAGTGTTTGAGTCCCAGCCACCCACATGGGAGACCCAAATGGAATCCCTAGTTGCTTACTTCAGCCTGGCTGAGCCCCAGCTGTTACAGCCATCTGGGGAATGGACCAGCAGATGGAAGATCTCTGTTTCTGCCTCCCTCTCTGTATCACTGCCTTTCAAATAAGTAAAATAAATAAATAAAATCTTAAAAAAAAGAATGGTGGGGATGCTCCAGAATTTCTCTAAGATAGGATTTAGGGTAGGGCACTCTGGAAGCCTGGGAGCGAGGAGACAGCTAGCATATTAAGGACTATGAAGCTACTTTACAACATAGTTTTTACTTAGATGGCATATCATTTAGGGTGGCTTTGGAAAAGGCTGCTAGAGTTATGAGGATCCAAGTGTTCTTTCCAAATTACCTTCCTTTAGCATCCCTTGCAGTAACCAGGTCTTTCTTTTTTTTTAAAGAATTATTTTATTTATTTGAAAGAGTTACACAGAGAGAGAAGGAGAGGCAGAGAGAGAGAGAGAGAGAGAGAGAGAGAGGTCTTCCATTCTGCTGGTTCACTCCTCAAATGACCACAAAGGCCAGAGCTGAGCTGATCCGAAGCCAGGAGCCAGGAATTTCTTTCAAGTCTCCCATGCAGGTGCAGGGGCCCAAGGACTTGGGCCATCTTCTACTGCTTTCCCAGGTCATAGCAGAGAGCTAGTAACCAGCTCTTTTTTTATCTTTTAAAGATTTTATTTATTTATTTGAAAGGCAGAGTTACAGAGAGAACGAGAGAGAAATCTTCCATCAGCTGGTTCACTCCCAAATGGCTACAATGGCTAGGACTGGGCAAATAGCTTGAACACCATCCAGATCTCCCACATAGGTGGCA